TGAACACCACAGCAGTGCAGCTGCAGGGACAGAAAACACATCATCTGTAGGGATTCATCTTACTTCACAGGTCAAAGCAGAACAATGCAAAAACACTGACTCTGCGCTGGACATTGTCTACAGCCAGACTTCTGTCGTCTCGACCATCATACTTCATCACTGCGTCGCTGTACGTCGTCAGAAATGTCCCTTTAATCTGAGCACACACAGGACATTGTCAGCACATTGCTATAAGGGGTTATAAAGTGTGTGTTTGTGTATTTCTACCTCGTGGCGAAAGATGAATCCAGAAATTCCGGCAACAAGCTCAGTGATGAAGACCAGAGACAGAAAGAGAGCATACTGAGGAGAGGTCAGAGGTCATACTGCAGTGAGCATGACAGGTCACATTGGTCATGATAAGGACATGCAGTCATCATAGAGATGTTAAACAATGGTCAGAGCTCATGGTGGGATTGTAAAGAAGACATGAACATTAAACTAGGAGTTAAAGGTCAGAAGTCAAATACAGTTGTGAATGAAATTATATGAAGCTCATAAAGAGGCAGTTGCAACTCCAGCAACACTTGTAGTTTAAAGACCCATGTAGTCAGGCCTTTCAGACTGGAGCATGTGAAGAACATGTAAATGAGATGAGCCTCAAGCAGAATATAAGCCACATCTTGTGTCAGTGATCGAGCCCATTCCCTGGTGGGAATGTCAGTTTTCTCAGAAAAATACAGAAATATATATAGTTTTATTATTATTTTATATTTTTAATATTGTGTTTCATAGATAATGATTAGAACAGCGAGGAATGGCCTCTTCAGCTGTAACTGAGTATTTGCAATCACAGACACAAAGTTAGTCAATGTCCCTATGAGAACAGAAACTGCCACAGACCAGGTTTAACATCCAGGGGCGCCCCCTGCAGGTGGCGAAGCAGCCAAACAGCCCAAACAGGACAATGGCAGCCCCGGTTCCGGTGAGGACGTACGGAGCGTTGGAGGGGCTGCTGGAGATCAGCAGCATGTAGGGGCCCAACATGAACTTCCACCATAAGCCCACGCACAACAGGACCACACCTGTCACCTGAGAGGGGAGGAGCTACAGGTCAGACAGTCATAGCTACCTTTCAGGGCGGTTTAAGCAGCAGTTTAACTAGAGTGAGAATGTGCAACAGAGGAGAAGGAGGGACAGGGTGTGAGTCAGCACCACATGACTCTGTGGTGAGCTCCAACAGTGAGGTGACAAACTGACAAACAGATGCCAAGAACAGCAGCCAGCCAGAGCTCAGAGCAACAACTCTGCACAACACACTGCCGTGCACACCTGGGGGTGTGGGCACAACTGCAGCAGCACCAGGCCTGGTGGTCCAGCCAGTGATACCAGGACCAGTCGCTCTGCAGAGAAACACAACAACTACTGTATGTCACCAACTGGTGTAAGGCAGAGCTGGTACTGGTCAGAGAAGTACAAAAGCAAAATATACTTAAAGTTGCCCAGCCCTGGTTATAGCAGAGCCTTTATTGATGCCTGGTCCTTGTTGTCCTGCTTCAGTACCTTTAACTTGTAGTACTTTAAGTGCAATGTAACCGTTAGAAGACAATAACAGGACAGGACGACAGCGTGTATGAGATCGTGTGTCCTGACTCATTAAGATGATTTATGTGTGATAATTAGCTGTGATATTCCCTCAGGCCACGTCTTCATTATCGTCTAGGTGTCACAGCTGCGGCCTCCTCCTCATTCCTCAGAGTCCAGGTAATTACTGG